GTTGGGACTGTTTACTCTAAGTTTAAGTTCAGCAGTTAAAATATTTAAAATGTTACAAGATAAAGAGCATTATCAGGGAAATATGAAACAGTAGCAGGGGTTGTAGGAGAGGCGAATACATGACATTGCACAGGCGGAGCTTTATATCATGTCAACTACTTTAAGTGTTCAAATGCTGGCTAAAATTAGCCCCCATAAGACACTGCTCCTACCATATAGAGTCATAAAGTCCTGATTCAGTTATGCCGTTCATACTAAAATATCTAACTTGAGCTAAGAGTAGAGCAGAGTGTATTCACTTTGAAAAGGATGCATTTTATTGCTTATAGTTTCACTTTTTTTTGTAAGAAGACCTCTTCTATTCCAGCAGTTTCATCTTTCTTTAAGTATCAAAAGTTCACGTATCCGACTCATTTTGTTTAGTAAAAGTTCAGATGAAGGTAGAATAGCTCCACCAGAAACAAATGGAAAACTTTTATAATGTATATAGAACCACTCTAGTCAAGCACCTCAAAACTAAACATAACTTTGTTTCCACTACTTGCAAAAGTGAGGGTTGAGATATAATCCGGTGTTAGTGCTGTTGACACAAACATGCAAACTGGGTCAGGCAGTGAGAAAAATTCCAATTATTTTACTGCACAAAGGGTCGCACGTCACTGACACGTAATCCAACATTTAGAAAAACACCAATAATTATCTGTGCACATTAGGGAATGCTATTCAGGTCTCTTTTATGTTTTGAACTGTTAATGTTTGGGGCGTTGTGTGAGTTTAGCTTTTGAATGACCCGCAGATGTCAAAGTTTGTGCTCGTGTGCGTGCCTTCATTTACTTCCAAGCATGTACATTTACTCCGTCTGGGTTCACCAGCGTGTTTGGAAAACTCTGCCCACGCCAGCCTGCCAAGGTCTCTCTCTTCTCTCCTGACCTGACATTCTTTCCCCGGCTGTAGTTGACGTGCGGTTTCAAGATAAAAGCCTCCATTCATCAGTCTGACCCAGGGCCCAACGGAACGACAGGATACCCCACCTTTGTCTGGCAACAACCAGGGCCATATTTTATCCGGTGCTGGTGGACTTCACATTGAAAACAACCCGTGCTACAGGACATTTTCTGCAGTGTGTGTGTGTTTCATGCGTACTGTGCCCTCAGGATTACTTTTACTTTCAATATAATTGCAAGAAGGTTTGGGGTTTTCCAGGTTTAACTACTCTTTACAAGCTCGCTCTGTTTTAGCATACTGTATACTTTCTTTCTCTTTTATCCTGTTTGACTTTTGGCCCAGCTGCCTAAGCTCCACCACACACCTACACTCTGTCAGTAATGAGTTATTTGTCTGTTGTATGTGTGACGCGGAAGAGTGCAATCTTACTCACTCGCAAATCTCCTGTTTGCAGCCTCTGCCACACTCCCAGGAGGGATATCATGCAGAAGTAATGGGGACAGAAGCTGACTTCCTTCAGCTGTTACTGCTGTTTGGTGTCTGTGAATCATCTCCAGACACTGGGGCCAACTTCTGCCACCTGCACATCTTACATTTAAAGGGATATTTCACCCAAAAAATCCACAAATCAACCGGTTCAATACATTCAAAGAAGCTTTTCAAACCACTTCTTCTCAGACTGGCCTGATTGTCTTAACTTACATTTAAGAAAATCATTTGATCTTGTGTAGCTCACTAAAACTACTTCTATGAACAGTACGGGCTACTATGAGCTTCACAAAGGTGCACCATGATAGTAATTGTGTATTAACTCTAGCCATATTTGGGCTAAAATAGCAATGTGCAACATAATAATGGAATATGGACAAATGTATTGTTCTTAAGGATTGATTGAAACGATTGTGTGTCTGCTTCAAAATGGTTTTCCAGTATAAAAACCACTCTGGTATTTCCAAATGTATCCTACTTTAGTTAACACAGAACAGTTGTTTACAGCACGAGCGAAAAACAGAGCAGAAGAAACGAGACAAAAAAAAACAGAAGTGAATGAAGGAGACAAACTGTAGAAGGAACTTCTAACAAAACAATTGTAATTGTCCATTTTGACATTTGTTTGAATCCAATATGGCAAATGGCAGACTCACTTGAACGTTACACCGCATTGGGTTAGTGGTACTTTGCCTGGACATGAAAATATTCCACTGCACCGCTGTGAATATAACAAGAGGAATGTTGGAGTAATGTGAAAAATCACAGCTTACATGTGAAGATCTCTTCCTTTTTCTCTAGATAAACACATTTCATTTGTGGAAAACGAAATTCTATTAAGTAACAACCACGACAACATGTGCATATGTGACAGATGTGATAGTTTACATCGGTAAACTGGAAATGTCTCTAAGCTTTCTGTAGCACACCGAAACGTTCCACTATTTCAGAAAATGACACGGTGGTGCGTAACTGTGGGCGAAACTGCGAATGCCTAATAGGTGGGGGTTTACACATGTGTGAACTTGTACTTGATTTAAGGATTTCCTACTCATATGAGAGGACCTTTAACATGACCAGGAAATGAGTCAGTCTTTGTTGTGGTTGATATCAAGAGGCCAGAAAAGGGTGAGACACATCTACCAAATGTCAACAATATTTTACAGAACTCGAAAAAAGTATTGTTCTAAAGACATATTTATCATTTATCAGGAGTCTCAGAAGAAAAACTGAATACAAACAATGAATAAACATGTTTTAAATACTCTTCTTAAAGATATGTGCTGTGCATATCATTTGATATGATGCTTTGTTGGAAATGATCTCTTTTTTGTAAAATAAAGGTAACATCATGTCTCTCAACATCTCATGCTAAAAGTAAAATAAAAATGTGAAAAAATTAAAGCAACATGAATTTAAAAAACAGACTTGATGGACTTTCTACTAATAAAAACACATTTTAAATATTTTAGAGTCTGTACCCAAATAACTTCATGCCATGAATTAGAAAATATCCAGTACTGCCAGTACTATCATTTTTCCATAAAAAAGTTAAGTAGTAGTCACACTCTTTGGCATCATGTCCTTTGACTGAAGAGATTTAGAATCAAAATGTTTCAGATAAATGACCGTCGGTTAATACTGGATTTGGGTGATAAAATCTCGATCACACTGGTGGTTATTGTGTGTGTTTTGTGCACATGTACACACATAGCAAATAGGTTTGTGTGCGTTTCTGTCCACCTTCAGACCAGTTATTGAACCAATCAGTGTGTCCGGGTCTGTTTGATTGCATCATGATTGGAGCTCTCAGCGGGTCACCGTGACTGTGTCTCCAACAAAAAAAGCACCGCAGCCTGTACTTTTCCACTGATTTTAATGAGCACGTAAGGAATGGCTGCTGGAGAAAAAAAGCTGATTTCACTGCTTCCTGGCTATATGATGCTTCCTCAGTGTTTGACAGGGTCCCACCAGATGTGCTTTTACAGTTGGTTGTGACTCTATCTGTTTCATATGTGGATAAACAACACCCACAGATCTGCACACACATACTGAAAAAGAGAGCAAAAGGGAACCTGAGGTGATACAGTATACTGTCTCGCTCTCTCTTCCTGTCCCTGTGCTACACACACACACACACACACACACACACACACACACACACACACACACACACACACACACACACACACACACACATGAACATAGAGTACCCCACAGTCTCTATATCTGTTAGGCCCAAGTGTTGTCTATAAACATTGTTCTTTGTTCCAAATTGAGATCTTGGAGACATTGTTTTTAAATGTGGACCACCTTTTAAAAGGTTATGATATTTCTAGGCCTAACAACAAGACAATAAATGTAGTAGTCATAAAATAATCACACGTAATTAAAACCAAACAAAAGAAGGGAAAACAAATCACACGAAAATAACAAGTTCAACTCGATTTGGAAACATCAATATGCTCTGATTACAGACAGTTGTGGAACATTGGAGAACTGCTGCAGGGAAAACTAAAGGATTTAGTATTCCTTTATGGGCAAAAAACCCTTCCACTTCTTTATCAGGGTCTTAGCTCTTTTTGGAAATAATGGTTTTCACAGGGTAGCAATGATAAGATAGGCTATAGCTTTGATTATAAACTCACAGAACCCCAACTGGATAACTAAGACTACTACAAAAACTCAAAAGTGTTTCTGCCTTTGCCCTTGTTTTTACCTATAGACATGGGGATACATGGGGGAGAGACGTGGGGGATGGCATGGAACAAAGGCTGCTGGTCAGCATGTTACACTCCAACAGGCCACCAGGACAACCTGTTGGAATGTTTTTCTGCATTGAGAACGGAGAGGAGAGACAAAGAAATCTTCCTTTACATGTATGGAAAGTGGGTTTAAACTCATGACAGATCTATACATTTAAAACCCTATGCTTAAAGTATATTCAAAATGTAAATACAGAGAAACTACAAGTAGATAGTTACATATTTGAGTGCAAATTGCTGGATAGTATCGTGGTGAACATAAAGAATATACGTTTATTAAAAAGATGAGGTTTATAGTGACTAACTGCAGTTTATCCAGGTGTGGAAAGGGTTATCAGACCACTAACAGTTAAATCAATAAGACGATAAGACAATCAGAGATTGAGGTCGAGATCGAGGTTGATTTTGGATACAGTAAACTAGATGTAACTGTGTATTTCTACCATAAACTACATTTCCTGCCAAGCCTTGGTTAAGGACGATTATTATAATACATTAAAGTAAGAAGGTTATAGGTTTCCAACTTTTTTAAAACAACATTTGGTGTGAGTTTGCCGTTTTCTTTGTTGTCGTTTTCTTTTGTTGTTTTTTTCTAACTCGCGTATTTCCGACAGCCTGTGAACGCGTCGCGGTTTCACGCTGTGTGCCTCTGTTTATTTTCAGATGGTGACGCGTTCGATGCGCTCCTCCTATATGCGGCTCGTCAGACGGAGGCCGACCGGGGATTGGTGCTCTGTTGTTGCTGTAGCAGCTTGTGTGGCTCCGTGGGAGGGAGGGGGCGCTATAAAAGCCTGCTCCCCCACACACAGAGCTTCACTCTGGAGGAGGAACATCTACACGGTGGGTTGGTCAACCTGGAACGGAGGGATCCCCCCAACCCCCCTACTATTTACCAACAACAGGCGTCTATTTCCGAACACTGTACCGTCCTGGCACACGGACCTGCTCTGAAAAGAACCTTCACTCTACCTCGACGAAATAAATGTCAAGAGAAACAACGCAAGAGCCAACAGATAAGGATCGCTGCTCAGAAGAAGTGGCGAGAAATACGAAGAGTCGGACCAACACGTAGAGACAAACAGGAAAAGCGCACGGGTCGTGTCCGCTGTCTTTCTCAATGCATACTCTTTGTGCCCGAGGAACCATGAAGCCTGAGATCAGCGCCGCGGTGACGTTTCTGTCGAGATTTCTGAGGGTAAAAGGACACGTAAACGATCGACAGGTCCAAACATTCAACCAAAGCTTACAGGACATTTTGTCAGGTAAGAAAACGAGAACATTCTTCCGTTGCGCCCACCAAACACATCTTAATATAATCTCTTACATATTTTCCCTATGTTTAGTTGGATGATTTAGTTATTAAATTACTCTTTTAATTGGTTTGAAGATGATTCAGAAAAAGCCTTTCTTTGTTCTCTAGTATCACTAACAGTGCGCTACCAACGCGCACCACTGTTTGCGCACGACAAGGGGGAAAAACACAAGCCAGAATCAACACTGCGAGTAGTTCACGACGATTCCTCGACGATTACATTGATACTAAATGATATTTTTTCACTAAAACACAAAATGGGCCATTTGTGGTTAGTTACTTTATTTGGAAGAGGGGGAGGGGGTTGGAAAGAGGCTCGAACAAGGAAGTGCTCGATAAAGCTCTGTGAGCACAACAGCCCCAGTGAGGCTGCTCAATTACGTAATGCATTAGAAATAGGTTGGCAATAAATACACAAGCAATGAAATAAATAATTATATGCAGGGTCACTCACAATAATAATTTAAAACTTTTGTTATACAGTGATCAAAATAGAAAAGATTACTTTCGACTTGTTTGTGTTTTATATGGTGAGTAACCACTTGATACTTGTTTTAGCAATACAAATGTTGTCCATGTAGTTAAACTGTGATATTGTGTTTTCCCTCCCATTCACAGTGTTGGCACCAACACATTTACTTTTCACTATGAATGGGAGTCGTCATAGCACTTTCCCTCTTTTTATTTTCCAGGAAATTCGGCCGTTAGCTTCCCACAGTCTTACTTTAGCATTATGACCGATTTTAGAGTATGCTGCGCAGGGATTGTGTCTCACTTCCTGCTGTAAACACACTCCAGCTTTAAATCTATCATACATCTGCCTCAGTCTACTAAGCAGATGGCCTTCATTTCCTACATAAAGAATGTATTACTTTTTGAGGGAAATTTTCCCTAGAAAAAACGAAAGCACTTACCAGCCAAGTAGAATCATTGTTGGAGGTCAATAATGAAATTTCTTCTACAGCCTAGAGAAAGTATTGTCTTTAAACGAGGCTAAAAGAACATTAAAACACCGTAAGAATCAAAGACAAGCTGCAGTTCGTTTTAGGTGGCCGTGCAACTGCCAGTCGTAAATTATTGTAACGCGTTGTTTAATTTTTAGGAAATGATTAACGTGAAAATTGGGCAACTTTTTACAAAAAATAATCACAATTTGACGGCAGTGTTTGTAAACAAGGCAAACGTTGAATGGAGAGGACTGGGAGGCCTGTGGGTGGGGGAGGGGAAGTGTTTCTGATGGGCTCCTCTAGGACGAGATGACATGTGGAGGAGCAGTGTAATCACATGGGAAATGGAGGCGAAATCCACCGAAAGAAACACCACGTTTTCAGTGCTCATAACCCGATTAAACGTTGCCATTTAACTCACAAATGCAAGGCTCGGAAAAGATTTAATGAATTTGGGAATGCTTGGAATGCCGTAGTACTAATTTATAAGACAAATGTCGAGTTGGAAGCAAAAGTGAATTCTATGGGGGCTCGTCGCTGCTAAACTAGGCCAGTCTGAGCTCTTTTAGCCTGGAAACAACAGTCACTCACTATTGTGTCGGCATGCTGGGCTGCTCTTGTTTGTGCTGGGCGAAAGGAAGTGGGGAAATGAACAGATTTAAGTCTCCATAGTTGCATAATTGTAGTTAGCAAGGCTTTGCTTCATCCTGTTTTGATGCCCATCCAGTCAATAATACAATCTCCGGATGTTTTCTCTAGTAAAAGTGGTCAAATACAATGAATAAACAACCGTCTTTCGTTACACTTTTTAATTAAAATGCACACCCTCATTTACTCCCCCTCCTCTTCCACGTGTGTCCTGTTTTTTTAAGAATAGGGGGTTGAAGGTATCTTCCTTTGTGTTCTAGGTTCAAAGATCAGACAACTTCTGCTGCTGGCCCCTCCATTAGCCCAGTATACATCCGTCTGTGTTAAGACACGGGGGGAGTAAGGGTGTATTATCATGCTCCTGTATACAGGTGACCTTCGGGCCCCCAGCCTGAATAATGGCCTACTTCACTGACCCTGTTTTTTCTTTGGCCACAATAAAGCTTGCAGCAATGGGATTATAATATGGACGAGCTTTGACAGAGTAATGATTGTCGGTGTGTTTTCTTGAAGTGGGCTGATTAAAAATCAGAACAAAGAATTGTAAAATAGAAAGAAAATTCCTTTTTCTATGTGAACTTCCATGGAAAGACTGGGCCATACATTGCTTCCTTAATCACCCAGAATACGATTTTCAACAGTCAAATTTTCCTCTCGTAACTTTAACCACTTGCATGCCTGAAGCATACCAAGAGCAGAGTCACTAGTCACTGCATGAGATTTTTTTACACAGATAAAGAGACAAAATATGGTCCTTTCCCTTTAAGAGGCGGAGCCTGGTGTCCCAGATGGCTGGCTGGGACTTCTACACTTTTGATGTGTTTTGTTCAGCCAGTCATGGGAGACTTTGTGACACTGACGGCAGCCATGGGAGGGATTGTGCCAATTCAATGGCCCTTTTTTTTGTCACGTAGTGCCGGGTGCCACTGGCTGCCTGTTTATGGCTTTAACAGGTGGTTGTTTTCTTTCCTAACACAACTGCACCCTGTACTTTGGTGTAGATAAGAACATTTGTTTTCTATATGCAATAGGCTATATTTTTACACATGGTAAACACCCGCAGGATCAAACTGTGATAACCTTTTACATTTAGGATTAACATTGAATGCAATACCCTCATTTAAATTTTCTGAATTACACACTCCACTTGCTTTTACAATAATATATTTGCGGTCAGATCTCATCTTGTTTTGTATACACTTGAGTTGCCTTCTTGTGGAAAAGCAATACTTGAGATTAGGATCTACTGAATCATTAAGCCGTATTCTTTAACATTTGGAGAACACTCACATATACACACTCAGGCAACAATGTTGTGTTGAGATTTAATTCATCTTAACCTTTAAGAAATTGTAAGCATTTGAAGCATTTTTAAATATGAAGTAATATACGCACATTTTTCTTGCATAAGTCTCTAACCCTCCGTGCCTTCATCAGAGCAGGTTTTGTGATTTTGCCTTTTAGTAATCACTCCAAAACTAAACTTTTTGTCCATCTTCCGTCCCTGCAGAGCAATATCAGCACCACTGGTTCCCAGACAGGCCATGCAAGGGTTCGGGCTACAGATGCATCCGTATCAACCACAAGATGGACCCTCTGGTGGGGCAGGCAGGCCAGCGCATCGGCCTGACCATCCAACAGCTCTACTCGCTGCTGCCCAGTGAGCTCACACTCTGGGTGGACCCCTTCGAGGTCTCCTACCGCATCGGAGAGGACGGATCCATCTGCGTCCTATACGAGTCAACACCCTGCCCCGTGGGAATGCCTGCAATGTCCTCTGCCATGTCCCCCTCAGGAAACGGGTCTGGGGGCCCAATGGTGGACAGTCACAGCAGCTGCAAGGAGGAAATGATGGTGATGGGCAGAACCAGTCCCTCCAAATCCTACAATATGATGACTGTGTCCAGTTAAAGAGGCACACCGTCACCCCGGCCTACTTTTGTTCAGGGTCATGCCGTGGCTGGTCAGGTCATGTGGCCAGATTCAGGGTGAGCCTTTTTGAAGCAAGAATATGAAATGAAATAGTGAAAGAAGAGAAAAGAAAAAAAAACAGGATGTGGCCTATCGTCCAGGTGATGGAAACCTTTGTTCTAAATTGTCCCCCTCCCCCCCCATTATCATCCGTTCTGTTGTGTCATTGGATCAGTTGACCACTCCGGTTTTTAAGGAGAGGCTTTGTGGAAATGGAACTGTTGGGGCAGCTAAACCAACCAACCAGGAACCCCCCCCAGCTCCATCTCTGAAGGGGCTTCATCGACTTTGCACTTTCTTACTTGTGGTTATTATGGGTACATGTTCAACACACGGAACAACACCAAAACCTAAATTGTAAGGCATTAATATCAGGAGCTAGCCCTTGAATTTCAAAATCCAGAAGTTATTCAATTTGCCGTTTTCACTTGTTATGTTTCCTGGGCGGGGAGGAAGTGTGGTTTTCGACTGAACCGTTTACAGTCCAAGCTCAAGATAAAGAAAGTCCCATGAGAGTATCTCTATTTTCTATAAGACCCCCTTTTTGGACCACAGGGATTTAGTTTCTTTATCTTGTAGCTGGAAAGAGGCGTTTGGTCTTAACTTTGCCCCCTCCCCATTTCATCAACATCGAACCCCAGAACAATTTCATCTCAACGTTCTCTCAGTATGTCAGAACGAGTGGACTGTGTTGTGAAACCTGTGGGCACCAGTGTGTCCTGTTGCACTGTCGCCCCCCCCCCATCATCCTTCTATGTGTAGCTTTCCGGGGTAAAGGCAGGGGATCCATTTCCTCCCCCGCTCCCCCGAGTTAATGAATGTTGTTGAAAATCACAATAGAGTTCCTGTGTTGTTAATTTTGCCCCCTTTCCTCATATCACTTTATCTCCTGCATTGCCAAAATTCATGCATTGCCAAAATTCAAAGTGTAGCAAAATGTGGGCTATTTAACCCAAACTGCGGTCATGTGGCCCTGTTAGATTTGACATTGAATGCACTTTGACGTGAGATTGTGTGGGATGTGTACTTTTTAGAGAAATCGCCTGCATTCCATCCATTCGAATGTCATCTTTTCACCGCGTTTTTATTGCCCTCTCGCATTTTTTGCCGTTTGTTCATACTGTAGCTCCCACGTTGGGATAGACTGATGTCTATTAAATCGGGAGTGTGCATCTCTGGATTTCCAACCCTTTTTTTTTTTTACACTGTATTTGTGAACATTTCAGAGCTTTTGATTTTAGGTGGAGAGTACTTTTGGTGGTATGTTAGAAACCTTCTGTCATCCGTTCATATGGCACTGTTTGCTCTGACAGGATGCAGAGCCAAGCAGCCCCCCCTCCCCCCTAGACACACACACAGATGGTGATTTGAGCTGCTCATAGAAGAAAAAATAAGTAAATCTGAAAGGTCTGGACTAAGTGATGAATGTGACTTTGGCCAAAGGGAGGTCTGTAGCACCGACTGTTCAGAGATTCATTTTAACTTAAAACGCCAGGCCTTGTCAACCTTCTATTTTAACGTGCGATTTCCAAGGTCTTGTAAAAGGAGAGACGTAACCTCATGTGTGCATTGCCTTACGAAGACCTTGTTATGAATTATGAGCCATTTGTGATTTTTAAACAAACGTTAGCCAGTCCTGCCCGGACCCTCACTTGAGGTGTCCAATTCCAGCCTGGCAGCTTCCCACCTTCCCGCTCCTCCTGGTGTGGGGGTGAGTGCCTCAAGTGCCACATATCACCTCCTAGCTCAGACCTCCTGCTCAGCCAATAGCCAGCATGCTGCTAGCCGACCCCATGTGGATGCGGGTAGACGTAATGTGACACATATCATCATCATCCATCGCTGTGGGGGGCTGGGTAAGGAAGGAAGGTGGGGATGGGGAGCTGGTGTGAGAGAGGGGGGGCCAGGGCCGGACTCTTTTTGTCCAGGGCAGCTAAAATCCCTCCAGCCCCCTCTCTGGACTTATTCCACATCCCCCACCAAGCCCTTGACCCTCCCTCAGCAGTGATGGATACAAATAAAACTAAAACCAGCACACGCACTTGGCGTGCTCAAGCTGCACTGGGGTGGGGGTGGGGGGGCCAAGTGAGAGACGCGGAAACATGGATCAAAGATGAAGAATCGAGGGTACTAGACCATTGTTTTCATCTCACTGGATTGCGCTGCACTTGCTTACTGAGTTTGAGTAGCAACTTTGTTTACATGCATATGAAAGGGTGTGATGGCTGTCTGACGTACCCCCACTTCACTCCCGGTTTGGGGGTCCGAGAGGGTAACGGCGAGCTGAAACAGATGCTGTGGCGGCTTCTGGCCTTAGCCGCTGGTCGAATATGTCACGGCACTGATTCTCCGCTCAACACCAGACCTATGGGTGTTTAAGCTCCCCCTAAGCTCGAGATGATCATGGGTAATAGAGCTATAGCCTTTGACGCACTGCAACCCCTAACCCAACCTCCCCTGTTCTCTGTTGATAGTCCCTTCAGCAATCTGTGAAAAGCAGTGATTCCATGTTAGCCAGATGGAGAGGAGCTTGCTGGGATGGGAGCCCAGAGCTTCGGTTTCCCTGGTGGACGCCAGTTTTAAAACCACGCTGCTCCATAATAGCTTTTTTTTATGTCATGTGACAAGATGTTTTGAGATTGGTCTATATTTCCGACGCGAGATGATCGTCTCGTCTCTTTTCTCTCGATGTATTTTATGGTCACACTGGTAGATTTTCTCATCTTTTCCACTCTGCCATCCCATGTATCCCCCAATTTTTAGTCTGGTGATCCAACCCCCTTTTAACAGATCTTGTTTTAGACCTACAAAATAAAAAAGATTCAACCCAAATCCTATTCGACACCTTCTACCACCACCCAAAATGGTTTAAGTCCTCAGTAATATATTATTTCAATGGCATCCATTCAGCTTGTGCGCACATAGGTTACAGAAATGTCGTGAGAGTGCTTTGAGTAGTCAGAGGTAAAATAGCACATAAAATGCACTAAATGTCAAGTTGAAGTTCAACATTTGTGACATTTTTTTTGAGACACGAGGAGTCTCTTGGAATGTATTGCCAAACTCAGGCCTCAGACATTCAATAAATACCCTTGTGGAGGAGTTGTGCATGTTAAGACATGAAACCGGAAGGGAACAGCAGTTTAGTTTTTGATGTTGTCGTCAAACTTGTCATCGATTAGTTGAATTATTGCCACTTTCACATTTGAGGTGTTTTACATATTGTAGAATGTATTGTAACTGTACAACATATGGTGGAGTACATAACATTACACATGGGAAGTGCCAATAATTGCTATCCTGAGGTGTTTTTAGATTTATTCCTTTTTGTATTTCATCTTTTAACATGGATAATGCTTTTCGTAAGTGAAGCCATTTGTGATGGGAGTGTTGGCAAGGACCAAAGTTGTTTGGTAAAAAAATATTAGTTTCCATGATCTATAAGTGTAGACGTATCCTTTGTTTTTTTTCTTTATTTCTTTTCAGTTTTTTTCCTTTTTTTTTTGTTGCTATTTACATACAAAAACCAGAAAATAGACAAAAAAATCTGAGCTTACCCAAGAAGAAAAGCTGTCTATCTTGTGATCTCATGTCAGTACATCTTTATTGTGTTCAGTTTCTTTTCCTTGGGTATGTTGTGATGAACTGCTGTAAATTTGTACAGTTCATGTAAATTGATTGTGCGGAAGTTGTACAGATTTCTATATTTTGGAAGAAAAGTTTTTTTTCTCTGTAATAAAAGATTTCCTATCTTGGCATCATATCCCCTGTGAGATGTGTCCTTATTCACTCAGGATTATTATATGCTGACTTTAGAATTCTGAATAAAAGGCACATATTAATTATTAAATTAAATTGTACAGGCTTGTACTTTTTAATAAATGATTTACCTCATGAATTATGATTCTTATACAGTAAGAGCTACACAAAGCTAACCCTCGTGTTGTGGCCGTTATGGGGCCCTCATTGGCATTTGACCTCTCAGTTTAGGTGACTGAGAGGGACAGCTGTGGGGAAACGAGACTAGAGAGAACAAGAGCAATTCTTCTTACTCGCTAACACCATTCCTCTATTTGGGCAGTAAACTGCACTTTGTATTTTGATTTTCAGGATGATAAAACATAAGCAGCTAACCCTTTTACACAGCTTACAGTGGCTCTGTTGAACTTGATTCATCAAAAAAGACAGGCTCAAATTGTGCTATAATTTCATTTTGAACAATTTGCCCAAAGATTTTCAGTCTATAATATTGATGTAGCTCCATATTTTGAGAGCAACTGGAACATTGTGTTGCCTAATGAGCTAATCCAATCCCATGTCCAATGCACATGTTTACGCACAGTATTGTTGCATTCTCCATCCAAATAGATCTGCCAGTGCTTTGACCTTTTTATATCAAAAGATGCAGCAGATGGTACTATCAGCAAGGATTTTGTTAGAAACTTCAAAAGTGCAACATTTGCCAGGACACCGATGTGCACAATAACGCTGCAACAGAACCAGCTGACTCCGCAATAACCCAGAGTTTTGATTAAGACCGCAATCCTTTGCAGCACTCTCAATCCCCCAGGTTGCTTAGCAGCAGGATGAAAAAGAAAAGCATTTGGCTCGTTTTGACACACAGACAAAGGACGGAGCGAGAAGAGCTGGTTTAGCAGGAGCCGGGGGGGGAGGGCACCGAGAGGGAAGGTGACTGGGCTTGTGTTTAAGTCGGGCTTTAACTCTCCAAACATTCACAAGCCTGGGGCCTCAACAGCTGGGGAGTGTGGGTACTGTAGTTAAAAATGATCGGAGGCTGTCTTGTCAGCATAAGACACAGCAAGAGAGTTTGATGCAAATTCCCTGGGCGCGCCAGACTGTTTGGCCCATTTATTTTATAGAAAAATATAATCAGAGGGGAAGTGTGGGTTAGTTTGTTGGTTTTCGGATCAGGGGGGGCACAGGTTCAAACCCCTCTGCAGTCAGCATGTCGTTGTGTCCCTGGGCAAGACACTTCACCCCAAATTGCTCCTGTGATTGTCCACAGTATTGAGTATGTAAGTCGCTTTGGATAAAAGCGTCTAACATGTAATAATGTAAGAACCATACAACGGTAACACAAAGCACAAAGTGATCCAGATTTACCAGGATTTTGCAATCCTCCCCGGACAGCGTTTTGCCATGACTCATTGCAGCAAGATGTTTTGTCAAGTTATTAATCTCTGAAAAATGAGAAGTGGATTGCAGTGGGTGTGCTTGGGCAGAAACATATCATTTTGATTTTATACGTATTTTGATAGCTGTTGAAGCACGTGAGGTGTTGTGTTTTTCACAAAAATATGCCGCTAAATGGGCTCATTTCACTGTGAAATTTCCTGAAGAAAGGCCAAATTATGTAAATACATATCACTGATATTTTATGTAAATAATGAAACATCAGCTCCTCTTTATATATATATATATATACTAAAATCGCATGCATCAAATTGCATGCTTGGCACTGATGAAACTGCAGTGTAATGTTTTCTGCTCTCCCCTCCCACTCACATAGCAACAGAGGTCACATAGAGAGATGGTTTGATTAGGCAGAATGTTCTGAAAGGTGTGTCAGATTAGAAGAGAAAGATAAAGAAATACTCAGGAAGATTATTTATGGTCTGATCCCATGATATATGGCATGGAATAATAAACAAGTCAGGCCACTTTAATCTGTGGGAGTTATTGATGTTAAAATGTGCTGAATATCCACTTAATCATTCATTATTCACATGTTTTTTTTGGACAAAGCATGTACAATTCAGCTTTTACTGTACTCTGTCCTGTATCAGAGGTCTGTGTGTGGCAACATTTATGTACACTGAGTCTGAACGCTCTGTCTGAGAACAAAGGCCTGGTGAGTGACAGTGGGAGCATGGTGCGTCTGCTAACAGTGTGAGGGGGTGGGAGGACATCTGGGACCCGCTTTATTGCCAGAGAAATGACAGGGTAGCCCTCCATGCTGCAGATGCATAAGTCACAGCCTTTTGATAATATGCCTCACTGTGTACGTTGCCAGGCTTCTCCTTCACCAAGAAAACTAGTATGATTTAGATATGTTATTATAAACTAGTAAATGCTGAAACAGAAATATTTCCCTAGCATGTGTGTCAATGGCCAAATATTTTAGGATATCCTCAAAACCACAGCTGTTAAGCACTTCTGTGTGTTTTTCCACTGAGTTCCCACTTTATCATTGTCCTTCAGAGTGTGTTTGTCATTCAGCAAGCCATGGAAGGACACATTGAGTCCTCTTTGAATACGATCCTGGGTGGGTCTCCAGAGTATAGAGGCCACACTCGACAACTCTCTCTCCCCTTCCCCTCAGGGCACTATTCATCCTGAGCCATGACATCTGCTTTGCCCCCCGCTGAATAGCTGAATACACCCTTCCCACCAGCATCAAAACAGGGACATTAATGAAATATAAGACAGTTTGGAAAAAGGAGTCCCGCTCGGGCCATCCAAGTCACTGAGCAATCCTTAAAGTGGACCTATCATGCTATATTGGAAAAATATATTGTTGGGCCATACCTATACAAAACATGTCTGTGATGTTTTTCTTTCAAAATACCAAACAATTCACCCATTGTAGCCATGCCTCATACTGCTCAAACCCCTCTTTTGAAGCCCTGTTAGAGAAACGCGGATCTTGGGTAATTGCCAGTTGTGAAATTGCTCCACACAACGCTGCTCTTTCTCTCAGCCATCATGCGTGTGTGTGTGTGTGTGTGTGTGTGTGTGTGTGTGTGTGTGTGTGTGTGTGTTGCACTCGCGAGTCGCTGGCTGCTGATGTCCTGCCGGCTGCTGTCAGTCAGCTTGATAATCGGCATTCAGGCAGGGAGCGCGCTGCGTGTGCGCGAGCCTCGAGGAGCGGAGGACAGCAGTGGAGAGAGAAGAAAAGAGCATATACTTGTGTTCGTCTGCACATAGTTTTTTGAAGAAATTGACGAGTAAAGGAGACGGGAAAAAAAGTATAAAAGTATCGATCCTATTGGCTCTAGTATCGATATTTTGAAACGTAACGTAATATCGGAAGTATCGATATTTTGGGATCGATCCGCCCACCCCTACTGATCAGAATTCTACCCGAGATAAAGTTCAGTTCTGCTGTGATAAAACGCCATCCTGTTTAAACCACGTCATGGATTATTTCTGAAATAGTATGGAGCTCAAATGCTTTTTCTCTTGCGGGTTTATCACAAGGTGAGTTCTTTTTTTATTTCCTGCTTTTTAAACACATGTGCTCTACAGTACAGGTTAGCTCTGAGTGTTAGCGAGGCTTGCTAATGTAATCAAAGACGAGATTACGTCCAAAACACGTCAGGCATTGTTTCTGATAGCAACTTTCTGTGGGTCCGCCGCCGATTTGACGTCAGATCGGCAGCAAATCTGTATCCGCTCGTTGTACCCCCGTTTTTAAGAGATTTGGGTAAGGAGGAAAAGAGAGGGTTTTATTTTCTGATGCTGCGTGAGTTCCCCGACGCACCAGGGACACATG